GGGAGACAGAGCATCAGCGTCAAATTACCGGCCTATTAGTTTGACATCAGTAGTGGGAAAATTTCTTGAATCAATTATAGCAAATAGCATCCGATCGCATTTAGAGAAAAACAAATTATTCTATGATTCTTATCATGGATTTACAAAGGGGAAATCTTGTCTGACGATTTTTGGGAAAGTCGTCGAGGTAGTATATAATGACGAAAATTACGATGTTATTTACTTAGACTTTAGCAAAGCGTTTAACAGAGTACCGCATCAGAGGCTTCTGAGAAAAGTTAAGGCTCATGGTATCGGGGGGAAAGTCTTAAATTGGATAAAATTATGGCTCACCGATAAAACACAGAGGGACAGTGTAGATGATGTTAAATCTGAGTGGGACTGTGTAAAAAGTGGGGTTCCCTCGGGGTCAGTGCTGGGCCCACTCTTGTTCATAAGCTACCTAAACGATCTAGATACTGGGATCAGCAGTGACATAAGCAAGTTTACGGATGATACACCAAAATAGGGCAGCAGATTAATTCAGGGCACGATGCAAATGCACTACAGGAAGATTTAAATAAACTGTAGAAGTGGTCAGAGAAATGGCAAATGATATTCAACACCAGCAAATGCAGCGTACTGAATATTGGAAGAACAAATACTGTCAACTGATACAACCATGACAACATCAACCTGAGAAGTCGACTTATGAAAGAGACTTAGGGGTACTTGTAAGCCCGGACCTACGTTCTAGAAAACAGTGCGTTGAAGTTCGAAATAAGACAAACAGAGTATTAGGTTTTATATCTAGAAGTGTAAGTAATAAGAGTGCGGAGGTCATATTGCAACTATATCTTGCGCTAGTCAGGCCGCACTTCGATTATGTGGTTTAGTTCTGGTGCCCTTATTTTAGAATGGATATCAATTCACTGGAGTCGGTGCAGCGAAGAATGACGAAAATGATTCCGGGACATAGAAACCTTCCATATCAAGATAGTTTAAAGAAACTGAACTTGCATTCCCAAGAAAGACGAAGAGTGCGGGGAGATATGATAGAAGTATTCAAGTGGGTGAAAGGAAGCAACAAAGGAGATATAGATAAAGTTCTTATAATGTCCAAGCAGGATAGGACTCGGAGCAACGGATTTAAGTTGGTTAAGTTTAGGTTTAGGAGGGGGATATAATGGAATTGGCTCACAAATAGGGTGGTAGATGAGTGGAACAAGCTTAGCAACTCTGTAGTAAGTGCTGGAATGCTGGAAAGATTTAAAAGGAGGCTAGATAGATTCATGGATGATAGAGAGTGGTAGTAACTCTCGACAGGAACTACCATGCACATGTAAACATTCCTAAGATGCACAATAAATCTTTGTCATAATCATTGGCCGCTATTAATCGATCAAAACCGGCTATGTAGTCTAATACATTATTTGCATGTAGATTTAATGTAAAATTACGTCCAAGACAAAGCATTTTTTTCTATTGTTTGTAAAACACCACATTATTCATGAGAGAGTATTTTGTCCATAAACTGTTGCATCACCTCTGTTAAGCCGGAGTTAAATTAAATATTTAGGGTTATTAATTCCAAGCTTTTTTAATTCTCTGGTCTTCCCAAGATACACAAAGAAGGTGTCCATCTTAGGCCTATTATTTCTAAGAGAGGCGCTTATATAAGCAAATTTGCAAAGGGGCTCAGTGTTTTTTTTTATCCTTATGTAGGTAGTTTTTCTACCTCTCATCACAAACACGTTCAAGATTGTACTGACAAATTAAAGGATGTTTAATGTCAATGATAAGTCAAGATTGTATCCTTCTTCACAAATGTACCTGTAGAAGATGTTTTGGAATTTTTGGAATGAGAACTGTGTCAGCATCAATATTCACATCTCTGTATCTATAATTATTGATCTTGTACGTGAATTTTACATAAATAAATAGATGTAGCCACATTGTATATGAAATATTTTGAGAGCTCCTTATTGCCATAAATTATACCCTCACATATGTGCTGGTACAGTTATGTAGATGTCGTGTTTACTATACGGGATGACACTTGGGATCTTTTGACCTTTTCTTTAATAGGTTAAACAGTTTCGTTCCCAGCATCCAATGGTATAAGAATCAACATGCTCGCCTCGCAAGCGAGCGGATCCAGATTCGATCCCCAGGCAGGGTGAAACTGTGGGCAAGTTTCTTTACACCATTTGCCTCCATCTACCCAGCAGTAATTGGCGACCTGGATGTTAATCGATTTGCGGATCGTGTTCCTGGGTAATGGTTAGTGAGTTGTCCGGTCTTCTAGTTAACTTAGGGTGTCGTTATTGCGTTGGCGACAGCTTCTACACCTTAAACAAATTCACGCCTAGGTGGCCCTTGGGACGGCAATCCTCTTTATACGAGGGGCAACCATTGTTTATAAAGTTGAATGGGAAGTGGAAGGTAAACTTCCCTTTCTTGATATTTTAGTAATCAGAGGCAACGGTAATTTTAACCTCACAAGTGTATAGAAAACCCACTTATTCAGGAAGTTATTTACACTATTTCAGTAAGTATTCAGATAAAGTAAAAAGAAGTGTTAGTACAGGCGTTTTCTTGAGAACATTAAGGATATGCATCCCCCCAACATTGGAATGAGGAAATTAACACCGATAAATCACAGCTTTTAAAACTAACATAAGAACATAGAACATAAGAAAATAAGAGGTCTGCAATAGGCCGGTTGGCCTGTGCATAGCAGCTCTATCAGAGTTACTACCACTCTCTGTCATCCATGAATCTATCTAGCCTCCTTTTGGAAACTTTCCAAGGTTCCCGCACTTACTACAAAGTTGCTAAGCTTGTTCCACTCGTCCACCACCCTATTTGTGAACCAGTTTCTTCCTATCTCCCCTCCTAAACCTAAACTTATCAACTTGAACCCCGTTGCTCCGAGTCTCTCTGCTCGGATATTATAAGAAACATCTATATCCCTTTGTTGATTCCTTTCACCCACTTAAATACTTCTATCATATCTCCCCGCACTCTTCGTCTTTCTAGGGAATGCAAGTTAAGTTTCTTAAACCTATCCTGATATGGAAGGTTTCTAAGTCCCGGAATCAATTTTGTCATTCTTCGCTGCACCGACTCTAGTGAATTTATATCCATTCTATAATAGGGACACCAGAACTGAACCGCATAATCGAGGTGCGGCCTGACTAGCGCAAGATATAGTTGCAATAAGACCTCTGCACTCTTGTTACTTACACTTCTAGATATAAAACCCAATACTCTGTTTGCCTTATTTTGAACATTAACGCACTGTTTTCTAGGCCGTAGGTCCGGGCTTACAAGTACCCCTAGGTCTCTTTCACAAGTCGACTTCTCTAGGTTGATGTTCTTAGGGCTGTATACATTATAAGTGTTGTTCTTCAATATTAAATTACCTTTGCCACTTGCTGGTGTTGAATTTCATTTGCCATTTTTCAGACCACCCCAGCTGTTTTTTGGACAAGGCTCTGGGTGTGGCCAGAGCTAATTTTATTTAGGCTTCTCTGCCTACTAAAAATACCTTATAGTCAGAGTTGTAAAAAGTACCGAACGTTGTTATATAAATAAAAGTATTGTTACACTGGCCAAATGTTTCTCAAGTACAAGTAAAGAAGTATCTCACTCTTAAGGTACTCAAGTACTGACAGTAAGAAGTAACAACAAAATTATTGTCTCAAATATTAAAATAAATCTACAGTAAATTATATAGGAAATAGTTAACCAAAGATAAAAATAAAAGATTTAGCGCATGTTTATGTGCAAATCTTTAAAGTGAAATTAATCAATATCTGATTCTCAAAATTATGGCTGTCCAATAGGGAGCCCTTACGGTTAGGCCTTTATATAAGCCTAACATGACTAAACAGACGCTCACAAGCAGCAGTCGTGAATAAACGTTTTTGACTGTTTAGCTTCCAAGTTTGTCTTATGTTCTGTGATTGAATATTTAAAGCTATTGTTTGGGGCATATGACGAGTAAGAATTCTGTTTTTGTTTTCAATATTGTATTTTAGTAAAAGATTTAGAAAGCCATACTTAAGTTAAAGTAAAGTATTGTAAAATTTGAGTACTTTTTGAAAAGTAAATAAACTCAAAAATTATTTGAATAAGTAAATTTATTTCTTTACTTTTTAACTCTGCTTATAATAAATAATTTTGTGCCCTAACAGCAAAAGCTGCCTTACGATCATATTAACATAATTCCCACTTACAACCATCAGCATTTACAAAATATTGTTAATGTTCATCATAATTTAGGACATGAATGTAGTCCAGGAGTTTGCGTATTACCTTGTAATGAATATGATAAGGTCTATGTGGATTAGACTGGTAGATACCTACTCACAGGGCTAAAGAAGCATAAATGTGCCATGAGATATCCACAAGATAATTCAGCTGTAAATAATCATTGTTTGGTTGTGACCATACCATGCACTGGAATAATTCTGCCATTGTATATAAATCATATTGTACTATAGTTTTAACAGGAAAATTTCTGATTCTGCTTTGATAAAGAAACTTCCTAATTTTATAATGTACAAGGGACAGTGGTGTCCTGATTTAATCTCCTAGTAACTAAAGGCTGATTGTTACCTGAGTATTTGAAACCTGATGTCAGTCGAGGTCAGCCACCTGGACTTGTGACCTGACTCGCTCCTCTCTTTTTGTAACTTTGTGTTTCAGTCTGAGAAGAGCCGTAGTGAGCGGTGGAAACATACGCCGTTCCTTTTCTTTTTCTTTTTTTCCTCCTATAGTAGGTTTGTGTTTTAAAGTATTTATATACTGTATATCAAGGAGAAATCAGGTTGAGACGGATGAGGGGCGACAAGACAGAAACATCTTTATGGGTGAGAGCAAGAAACGTGACCATGCTGTAGGTGTTGAAACATTGTACTTTAATTATGATATCATATATTGCTACTAACATTATGTTTAGGTAACTCAACTTAAGGTTCATTTATTCAATTATCAGAACAAGAAGGTCATACCCATATGTTGGATATAGCGATTGAGCTACTGATAGATATTTTTGCCGGAGGATTCAGACAAAACGAATAGTTTGGGATGGATGACTTCAACCAGAAGTTATATAGCCCACTCTCAGTAAGTGCCATTACCCTGTAGAAAAAAACATCAAATATTAGTATTCTCTGAAAATAATTGTACCATTTTGTTCATATTTACTTACATACACACTTACTTATCCCAATTCGATGATTCCCTCGAGCAAATACTCTACCTTTTACTTAACGCGTACAGAAGAGGACTGTCCTTGGGAACTATCATGCTATTCATCCTGGGCATCATATTGTCTCTGAGCTTATAGAAGTCGCACCGTCCTGTGGAATAAAGTAATTTAGGCTTGTTTGTTTATATGCAATGTCTATATACGATTATTAAGTAGTTTACGTATAAACAAATTTAATGTTAAGTTCACAACCAACATGCACAATTGCATATCTGTCCAATAAGATGTTAATAAAGGCGAGAACCTGTATTAGATAACTGTTTTCCCAGTAGTATGTACATGATAATTTCGTAAACCATGATAACGTGGTCGCCGCGCCTCACCAACGTGTCGGTGTTGCTGTAAAATTCTGGAAAATTCCTACGCTTGACGCGTCCTTGCATCTCTATGTCTGCCAGCTCTTTCAGAATACCATATTTCGAAGTCTGAAGAAATGAAAAGATACTATACAGTAATAAGACAGGAGAAGGCGTCCCCAAGATGGCTTCGATTACATGCCACTAAGACGATTCCAGATAAACGATTGCTTCTCACCTGAACGAGTCCCACATGGACGATTATAGCAAAAAATCGTCCCTACATCAGAAATTCTATTAGAAATACTGCGTTTATTATGTGAATATATTATGGACTTCCGGTATGGGGATAAAATATGAATTATACGAGTAATAACATAATACAACTAATATTATATTAGGAATGTTTTATTATAAAGATTTCTTACTCTGTCCTCCCAAACTCATGACCACAGGTCACGTGAATAATAAATAGGCTTATCAACTTGACTTACTGACAGGATGTACAAATACATAATTTCTTCATGAATATGAATACGATTACAGGTATAACATGAAATATTTGGATACAAATGAATAACATTTAATTATTAAATTAATAACTGTTTATAACAATTAAAATAATAACCTTCCTTTGTTAATTCTAATATAATTCATATTTTTTGGCTACAATTCACTGATCTTAATATATTTCATCATATATTACTATAATAAATAAAGTATTTCTAATAGATTTTGTGATTATGGACGATTTTAAATAAAATCGTGCATGTGGGAATCTTTCTTTTGGGAATCGTCCAGATGGGAAGGCTAAAACGGCAGAGAAAAGATGATCGTCCGGACTGGAATCGTCCAAGTGGGATGACACTGATGTCTTCAGTCAAGGTAGAATTTATGAAATCCTTCAGAGGTTGAGATCTAAAGCTATGATAAATAAATGTAAAATAAGGTAAATAGAAACAACTCTCACTTGTTATGGACTGAAGGACTACAGTTATGATGACAGGAGTGACCTCATATACAATATATATATATATATATATATATATATATATATATATATATATATATATATATATATATATATATATTTCATATAAATCCATAATGAAAACGTGGATAAGATAAATCTTGATAAAAATCACACGGGAAAATGGAAACAACAGGGCATTAGCTTTCGTCAGTTGCCTCTGAAGATGTGAATAAAGACGAAAGCTAAGGTACTCGTTGTTTCCATTTCCCGTGTTATCAAGATTACTTATCCGTTTCACAATAGTTTACATGAAATATATATATATATATATATATATATAATAATATATATATATATATATATATATATATATATATATATAATAATATTAATAATGATAATAATAATAATAATAATAATAATAATAATAATAATAATAATAATAATAATAATAATAATAAAAATAATAATAATGATAATAATAATAATAATAATAATAATAATAATAATAATAATTATTAATAATAATAATAATAATAATAATAATAATAATAATAATAATAATAATATTAATAAAAATAATAATAATAATAATAATAATAAATAATAATAATAATGATAATAATAATAATAATAATAATAATAATAATAATAATAGTAATAATAATAATAGTAATAATAACAATAACAATAACAATAACAATAATAATAATAATAATAATAATAATAATAATACTATTAATAATAATAATAATAATAATAATAATAATAATAATAATAATAATAATAATAATAATAATAATAATAATAATAATAATAATAAAAATAATAATAATAATAATAATAATAATAATAATAATAATAATAATAATAATAATAATAATAATAATGAACCATAGAGACAAAAAGTAAAAAAAAATCAAACGTGAGAAACTATATATGTATGTTGTATTGTTAATAGTAAGAGAAACAATTGAGACCCTGCAATTGTGTGTAAATGAGGCAGAAAGTCAGATCAGCACCCTGGGACTTGGTCACAATTATCGTGATGCCATATGGCAGCAGGGTCTACCATAAGACGACACATTATGCTTCCAATATCTTCCCTGGTGGTAGTACCTCCCTGTATGATAGCTGCCTACTACCTACGAGTATATGATTGTCGACAAATTTTAGGGATGACCTTACATTACTAGCTATCTGTAATACCAATACCAAAATGTAAAACCATTTAGCAGCGTTACTCCAGCAGGAAACTAAAGGCTTAAAACCATTTACCCGAATATCCTGCTCAATCGATGAATCACGCTGCCATATGATATTGGCCGACGAGTCATCCACCACCTCTTGCAAGGTCTGGTAAGGCTCTGGGATATATCTCACCGCCAAGTGGGATATGAGGTTACCAGAGTAACTTTGTCTTAAGACCAGCGTCATCAACATCCACACTGCCAACAACAGCAACTCCCACCACCACTGCGACGCCGTCGACGCCAAATTAAAATCTGTTGGAGTAAATTAGGAGGCGGAAAAAATTTTTGAAAACAAAGCAACTATTTTTTCTTTTATTAAGTTATAATAGCTTATTGATGTTTTCACTAAGCTGGATTCTGGCAATGGTTATACGATTGGAATTCCATCATCTTTGAGGCAAATACCTCAGTTTAGGGATAATGATTAAAGGTCATAACTTATGGGAAGCTGGGTGTGGAAGATGACCTGTGTGGGGGATGACGTGTGTGGCTGTCGATGGATGTGGGTGGGGATAACGGATGTGGATGACAGCTATGGTGGATGATGGATGTGGGGGTAAGTTTTTACCGACACAATAACACTGATGAAAAAATTTAGATATGGTGGCCGTAGATAAACTGTTTAGTTCTTAGCGGTGACACTTATATATGATAATCCTAAAGTGGTGAAGATCTGAGAATTTGTCTATGTCTTAGCGCATTACATTTGGATACATCTGTGTAGATGATTACAACACAGTTGGAACAGGGCATTGATGTTAATGTTATAATTCATTACCGCTATTTATCATCTCCCTTCCTTTAGATCATTTATTAAAAACATCTTTTGTTTAAGTATTAGTATTTTTGTAATATTTACTTTATATTCCTACTTTTATTCTGCCACCAAAACCACTACATCATAAATTGTCATGTAGATGAAAATTCCCAATGCAATAAATATATTTACCGATAAGACATAATACCGACAGCTCTTGTCCTCTTGTTCCACCTTAATATAACCCATGTTGTACTGCTTCCCTCCCTTATCATATTTATGTATATCATCCCTACTGTAAAATATGTATATATTTAGAATATAAATGTAAAACAATACAATAAATAAAGTAAATGAATAACTAAGTGATAGCCGTGGTAAAATTCTGATTTGTTCTTACCACCACTATGTTACGTGTACTATTCCAGATGATACTAAATGTTATATAATACTTCCTTGAGATAAATGTACAGTATAATATCAGGTGCCTTCAAGAGAGCTCAGGCTCTCAACTGGCTCAGCCATGCCAATATTGTTGTTATTATCGACTCTGTATCTGTGTTTTTCTGGCTAAATAAACTGTTTCAATATCAATATCAATAGCAAGGGTCTTTAACGCCTATATCATTCGTCGTTGACTCTAAGCTTCCAACTGGGCCAAATCAAAGGAAGCTTGTGATTGGTCGAGTCACGCAGGTGAATATGAGCGGAGGTGGTGATATAGTTGGGCGGTTTCAATGTGTTTCACATGTTAAGTTTTACTTCCAGGGTTTCAGATATCATTCTAGATCTACACACAATGATTAATATTACCTGCAATTGCCGAACATAAAGACAATAAATTAAGTAATTAGGAGCTCGAGATCAACCCAACACACCACATTCCGTCAGCCTATCAAGTGCATTGATGAAATATACTCTATGCTCTGGTTGCAGAGCTCATCTGAACGGAGAATAAGTTAGTAATTACAGTAGTCACCAGCAATAAAATATTAGGAGAAACTCATCTCTTGGTAATTGGTAAAATTTATTTTAACGTTTATATAAGGATTATCATGTTATTATTATATAGTTAGTTATAAATATACAAATAATAAATATAATTATGAAAATAATATTTTAACTCGTTAAGATATAAAAAAATGAAAGGGGACGACAGATCGCTGCTTAGATTAAAAAAAATCATTTAGGACTAGCTAGAGTACGCTAAGCTCTAATACTTGTTTGGTAGCATTACAGCTAATTGGAAGACTTAAATACTGATTTAGTTTGACCTGTTTAGAAAAAATATATGTTCGCTGATATTATGTAATTCTACAGATGGAAATAAAAAATATTTTAATATTATTCTGTTTCATAAGTCATACTAATCCACATACCTTTTAACTCCTCAGCAGTCTTATCAATGGGGTATTGTGATCACCTACCAAGAATATGCTCGGGCTTTGGATGGTCAGCTATGAAAATTTGAAGGTATTATCATCACGTTCACCAATGAATGTGTACTATTGTTAAGTTAGAGCCAGGAATCAAAGCTAATACCAAAAGAGAATAGCTGAGAAGGTTTCCTCGATTTATATTACCCCTTTTTTTCTATATTACAGACAGTAGTCATTACTTGGTGTTGGGTCCTGGATTTACCCTGGCTTAAAAGCAGTCGTACTAATCCGAAGGCTTCTGCCATCTTGTTTTTCTCGTCTACAAGCGCCTTCAGGAAGAAACGACGACAAGAAGAGCGTCGCCCCCAGCACAACCAGCAGCACCGTCAGGATGGCCATCCAGACCAGCGAAGTGAAGGGAAGTAGAAAACTCCACGGATCCACCTCTGGCCGCCCCCGAGCACCCAGGATGTTGACATAATTCATATCCATCACACATGTGAAATCCACTACCTCAGAGCGGCTGGCAGTCATGGTGAGGGGCACTATGGAGAAGTGTGCATCCTGCATCACCAATAGAGATTCAAGAATTAGGAATAAGTTAATAAAAGTGGCAATTTTATTAACAGCTCTTCATGCAACTTCCTCTTATGACATACACTTTAAACTTGATCACAGAGATGTGTAGTTATATGAGTGCCATCTCTAAGAAGCAGCTGCCTCTCCTCTCCTCTCATTTGTATCCCGTTTAAATCACTACCAAACTTGCAACTTTTTCCATTGCTTCCCACGACAATATTTTATCGAATCTATTATTTACATTTTTTGGATCCATTATTCTGTAAATAACATTCAGTTAGGCCTTTAACGTACACACTTATCCACGCAGCTCCTTTATCTTCTGTTTGCTTATAATATTCAGAATTGTAATTGGTCAAGCGAATAATAATTTTACATATATAGTAGATAAAAAAAATCAAGGCCAATTTTTAACTTTGAAGATTTGATCAAAACCTCGGGAATACTTTGAAATTCAACAATTCAAAATATTTCACGTTTTACAAATATCGCGTGTATAGTGTATACAGTACAGAAACATTGATGATTTTTTGCTTGAGGTAAAGCCCACTGAGTACACTGCTCTTACCCAATCAAAGATTTCAATCCGCTGTATCTAGTAATAATTTGGTGTATACAGTAGGATGCCGACAAAATTAGTGAGAACTGTTTTGTGAGAACTTGAGAGCAAAATGGGTCAACACATTAGGTAGGAGAAGTTATGTTGTCAATATTGATGCTCCTACACTGAGGACCGATTTAACTTAACATACAATAGATAACAAAGATTTGAACCCCTTTTGACGAGGATTGGTCTAGGAATCTAATCTTAAGTGCATTGGTATACTCACCCCCCTCATCACCATACCCACTATACCAGACCAAGACCCGTCTTTCTGCCTGGAGCCACTGGAGCGATCAGGAGAATGCATAATTGCTGGTGGTTAAATGTAATACGTATATCAGTAATACAAATTTTACCGATATATATAAATGAAGATTATCTATTATATAACATTTATTGAGTAATAATGCAATATATATATATATATATATATATATATATATATATATATATATATATATATATATATGTGTTTGTTTTGTGTGTTTGTGTGTCTGGAATCTATAATCTTTACCGATTCAATGATGGATGATGATGTTATATATAGTGATGATGGATGATGTTATATGTAGTGATGATTGAGGTGTTATATGTAGTGATGATGGGTGGTGTTATATGTACTGATGATGGATGATGTTATATATATGATGTTGTTATATGTAGATAATATGTGTTATATGTACTGATGATGGATGATGTTATATGTAGTGGGTGGATGTTGTTATATGTAGTGATGATGGACGGTGTTATATGTAGTGTTGATGGATGATGTTATATGTAGTGATGATGGATGTTGTTATATGTAGTGATGAATGGTGGTGTTATATGTAGTGATGATGGGTGGTGTTATATGTAGTGATGATGGATGATGTTATATGTAGTGATGGTGGATGTTGTTATATGTAGTGATGATGGGTGGTGTTATATGTAGTGATGATGGATGATGTTATATGTAGTGATGGTGGATGTTGTTATATGTAGTGATGATGGGTGGTGTTATATGTAGTGATGATGGATGATGTTATATGTAGTGATGGTGGATGTTGTTATATGTAGTGATGATGGGTGGTGTTATATGTAGTAGTGATGATGGAGGGTGTTATATGTTATATGGGTGGTCCCCTACAATCCTCTTTTGAGTAAAGCATTCAATGCGCACATCAATGTAGAGTTTTATAATTCAGTCAAGTCCATCAAGTATGTTTGCAGATTCGTCAACAAAGGCTCTGACCAAGCGATCTTTGCATTGGAAAAGGATGGAAATCATGATGAGGTGACACAGTTTCAGCAGGGCCGTTATATATGCAGGAATGAAGCTCTATGGAGAATTTTTAGTTTTCCCATACATGAACGTTGCCCAAACAGTAGTTCATCTGGCTGTTCACCTGGAAAATGGACAAAGAGTATACTTCACAGAAGAGTCTCTACAAAATCAAATGGCAAATCCTGCTGATACGACCCTCACTGCATTCTTTAAGCTTTCACAGGAAGATGAGTTTGCTCAAATACTCCTGTATGTTGACGTACCCAAGTTCTACATATGGCAGGATTCAATGAAAAAGTTCCAGAGAAGAGTTCAAGGATCCGATGTTGAAGGATATCCAGGGATAAAGTCAGGCAATGCTTTGGGACGTGTCTACACGGTTCACCCCAACAACTTTGAATGCTATTGTTTGAGACTACTTTTGCAACACATCCGTGGCCCAACATCATATGCAGCACTCAAGATAGTGAATGGACAAGTCTGCAGAACCTATCAGGAAGCGTGCAATCTCCTTGGCCTATTGGAAGATGATGGTCACTGGAATGACACATTAGAAGAGGCAGCAGCTACTCAATCGCCAGCGAGAATGAGGAACCTGTTTGCCATCATGATTGCTACATGTGGACTTTCCAACCCAAGCCAACTCTGGAAAAACCACGATGAAAGTCTTTCAGAGGATCTGCTTCATCAAGCAAGAAGAGAACATCCTGGTCAAGAGATTGAGTTCATGGATGACATGTTCGACAGGGCTCTGATCATGCTGGAAGACAAAGTGATGGAGCTATGCGGAAAAAAACCTGACTGATTTTGGATTGCCTTCCCCAAACCGAGAAGAACCAGTTGCTTCAAACAGAGAGTTGCTCAGAGAGACAGACTACTCGGTTGAAGTTCTGGTGAATTTTGTTGTAGAAAATGAGCCTCACCTGGTGAGGCTCATGAATATATCTTGCAAGCGATACAAGCGGAGCAGGGAGGTATGATCTTTCTTGATGCACCTGGCGGGACAGGAAAAACAATCTTGATCAACCTTCTGTTGGCCAAAGTACGTCATCAGGGGAAAATTGCTCTTGCTGTGGCATCCTCAGGCATTGCTGCAACACTACTAGAAGGAGGACGTACTGCACACTCAACTTTTAAACTGCCTCTCAACCTCGCTCACAATGAGAATCCAGTGTGCAACATCAAAAAAGAATCGGCAAAGGCAAAACTCTTAGAAAAATGCAGCCTCATAGTCTGGGATGAATGCACTATGTCTCACAAGTTAGCGTTTGAAGCATTGGACAGGACCTTGCAAGACATACGAGAAAATGACCATCTCATGGGTGGCATTACAATGGTCATTGCTGGAGACTTTCGCCAGACCCTACCTGTCATTCCTCGAAGCACTCCAGCTGATGAACTGAATGCGTGCCTCAAGGCATCATACCTTTGGAGAAGTGTTCAGACACTCACCCTATCCACAAACATGAGAGTACATCTACAAGGAGATCAGGATGCTGGACGGTTTGCAAACCTTCTACTACAGATTGGGAATGGAACTTTCCCTGTTGATTCAGAAGGACAAATAATCATTCCTCAAGGATGTGGAAATGTTGTAAAGTCCTCAACTGAGCTCACTAACATGGTCTACCCAAACATTATCCACCACTACAAGGATCACAAGTGGCTGCGTGAACGCGCAATTCTGGCACCAAAGAATGAAACAGTGGCTGAAATCAACATGACTCTACTCAGACAGCTTCCAGGCAGTGAGACCTCATTCAAATCTGGTTGATACAGTAATCGACCAGGACCAAGCAGTCCAGCACCCTGCAGAATTCCTTAATTCTTTGGAGCCCTCTGGAATGCCTCCTCAACACCTCACTCTCAAGATTGGAACTCCTATAATGCTCTTAAGAAATCCTGAACCACCAATCCTCTGAAGTGGCACAAGACTGGTGGTGAAGAACATGATGCCACGTGTATTGGAAGCTACAATACTGACAGGAAAAGCTAAAGCAGAGGACGTTTTTACACCAAGGATACCTCTCATCACCAGTGACCTGCCATTTGAGTTCAAGCGACTTCAATTCCCGGTTAAAATGAGCTTTGCCATGACCATCTACAAAAGCCAAGGACAGTCCCTTAAGATGGTTGGCCTAAACCTGGTGTTTCCTTGCTTCTCTCATGGACAGTTCTATGCTGGATGCTCCATAGTGGGAACTGGCAAAAATCTGTACATACTTGCTGCTATTGGCAAAACCAAAAATGTGGTCTACATTAATGCACTACAGTGAGAAAATGTGGAGCCTCTTGGAGGGTGGCGTCCTACCGTGGCCTTGCGAAAGAGCCGCCTTAAGGGCGGCGATTCCGCTAGTGTATATATATATATATATATATATATATATATATATATATATATATATATATATACATATCATGTAGAATACAATGAAAACGTGGATTAGATAAATCCTGATAAAAACACACACAGGAAAAAAGGGAAACAATGGAGAACCTTAGCTTTTCGTCTTTATTCAAGGAACATCTTCAGAGCAACTCAATTACAAGGACTGAGAGAGCTTATGTACACAGGTGACCTTACAAAACATAGTGTTTTTCTTGTGTGGTTATCAGCATATACAGTACATGGACCACGCGCCTACAATTTATTTGCCATACATATACAACTATATATATATATATATATATATATATATATATATATATATATATATATATATATATATATATATATATATATATATATTTAATAAAGGTCACCCTGTATATTTAGAAAGCACTCTCTCTGTCCATGTATAGTCAGTTGCCTCTGAAAATAAGACAGCTAAGTCTCTGTGTTTCCTTTTCCTATATGGGCATATCAAGCACACAGACTTCTACATATAATCAGCACCTCACCCGCCAGGATTCAGACCCACGATCTTATAATTGTGACCGGGGGAACGATACCTCTGGGCCACCAGGACACTAAAAGCAGTCCTGGCGGGGTGGTATTGATATAAGTAAATGTTTATTAACCTAATGAAATATATATATATATATATATATATATATATATATATATATATATATATATATATATATATATATATATATATCAGGATCAATAGGGAACACACTGTACTAATGTGGAAACTATAAGCCTCATTATAGATGGGTTATATAAATCAGTCTAATAGATGCTAGTATTGGCCCTAATTACCTATAAGATAATGTGATGTCATAAAATGCATTAGCATTGATTAGTGTTTGCACTTTGTATTTTTTTTGTATATACAGTATATACGTGTATGATTGTAACTGAACCTGTCAGTTAATTGTTGTTTTTAAAATCTAAAAATTCAATCGATGACATTCTGATATATGTCTTTTCCAAGTACTAATTCTTCTGGGGAACAGAAATCGTTATTTACTTACGAGAAATTTAGTCCTTGCGAGACATATTCTATTATATGCTTCATGGGACCAAGAACTGCAAGTCTCCTCCCCTCTGGATAACTCTCATTGCCCTGCCACACAGTTTTTGTGAGTACTCCTTCTACAATCGGTATGATAAATGTCGGTCGATGGGGGAATCTGGGAAAAATCAATTCCAGGAATAACAACTTTTATCACATGAGAATTGAATATCATGTTTTTATCATTTTAGTTAGATTACTTTACATGATAATTAGTCAAAATTACATAGTTACATCAGACACGGGTGGCTGCTGCATAATTAGGTTTGTTTAATGTAGTTACGAATGTAGTAAATGTGGACCAAGCGGTTATCTCCTGGTATCATTTGTAACTCCTGTAGTTACTTCGTAGTTGTTTAATAGTACTTAATGTTTACACAAACACTATTTGGATTTTCTATTTATCTACCCAAATATAGCACATTCTATGGTTATCAATAATAACTGATAGACAGTAATCGTCCTTTTAGGAGAGAATAAAGGAGGTAATTTACATAGCTCCCTTATCATTTCTATTGCGTGTAAGATATAGGGTTCAAGTCCACTGAGGGCTGTGCACTTGTAGTCCAGATGATAAGTGAAAAAATCGTGCACTTTTCGACTCAGGCATCATACTTTTTACACTGATACGAAGACCCATGAGGAACATTTTCAAAATTAGAGGCAATCTGCATCTGCCTGCTGGTGGGTATGGCAGCCATTTTTCAAGATGGCAAAGACATCACATTAAAATATGCAATATCTCAGCTTCATTTACAGTTAGATCTTTGATTTTTGTGGCCTTCCTTATGTCTTAGACCCGAAGAATATAATAGTAATATTCATATTGCTGTACGATATGTCATTCATTCTGAAATCCAAATTGACAGGTAAAGTGGAGACTTTTTGTCACCTCGATGTGACCAGTTCTTGCATTATGATGACACATGTAGCAGATCTACTCTTCTAATGTGTTATCTAACTTCAAGTACATACAAACAACAATAAATGTAACAAGCCCCCATTAATATTTCAGTTATTTGTAATACAAAAATAACTAGCATCCAAAATGTGAATATGTTTGGCTCATGAAGCGGTTGTTGAATCGATACAGAAGATTGAGTCTTAGATTTCAAAGAACGCCTGGTAGATCGCACAAAGAGTGTGTCAGAGAAAGTGACAAAGAGTAAGCTGAGTCTTTTCAATAGCCAACCAGATAAAAGCAAACCCCGATCAGAGAAACAGCTTTCATCAGTGCGACAGGATGGAAGTCTGTTCTCTAGCTTTTACATTACATGTCAGGTCTGTGATACTAACCTTGCTGACTTCTTCTAACATGAGAATCAGACTTATCCTCCACCATTATCTGTCTATGGTGATATGAGATTTGGTACCACGCCATGACAGTGCCAGTTTCCAACATGAGGCAGATGTGGTAATCCTTGATGGTGCAACAACCGTCAACATGGTCAAGCCAGGTACTTGCAAGAGTTTTGATGATTCTATACACCAGATCATTGAATGCGTCAGGCGTCAATTTCAAGGTTCTGTGAAATGAGTGTACATAGTGTTTGATGTATATAAAGCAGATGGTCTGAAATCAGCCACAAGAGAACAAAAGGGGACATGGTACCAGACAACGAGTTGAGGGAAGACAAAAGCTCCCAGGGAATTGGGCTGACTTTCTGCGAGAGAGTGAAAATAAGAAAGATGTCTTCCATATTATCAGTACCCAGGCTCAATCTAGAAGAGAACACGTGGTATTCTCGGAACCAACCTATCCAACTGAAGGATTATTCCCATGTTCACATGAGGAGACAGACACCCGTTTGGTTTTGCATGCTACAGACGGAACACATCAAAGATACAGAAAAATATTCATCAAGACAGTTGACACGTATGTTGTGGTGCTCTCCATAGGTTTCGCTACAAAGATAGGCTGTGAATGTCTTAGGGTAGGATTTGGTACGGGGCGGTTCTTCCGATATCTTGATGTTATTCGGATGGCTGAGGTATTAGGTGAGGAAACATGTTCAGCTCTGCCTGCTTTCCATGCACTAATTGGCTGTTATATCACTTTATCATTTGCAGAAAGGGTAAACGTACAGCCTGGATTGCTTGGCAAGCTTGAAATGAACTGACAACTGCCCTATGTGTCCTGGCCCAAACTCCATCACCAGATGGCATAGCAGCTGTCCTTCCACCCACCGAAAGATATATCGTGATAATGTACGGCAGGGATAGCTCAGAGAAGGGTGTCACTAGTGCAAGGCAGGTTCTGTTCACACAAAAGCGACGAGAAATTGAAAACTTACCTCCAACGCAGGATACACGCACTCAGCACTTGCTTCGAGTTGGCTATGAAGCTGGTCATGTATGGGGGCTAATCGTTGTTAAAGCAGCTGTTGCGACCTTGTGTAAAGTGTGGTTGTACCAAACGATGCAAAGGACAGTGCCACTGCCTGGAAGCTGAGTTGCCTTGCACTCAACTCTGTAAGCTTGGTTGTTGTGCATAAAGTGAGTAAATGAATGAAATTTTTAGAACTAACACATTGTTATTAATTTTATCTGATATATTTAGCAATCAGTCTTTTTCTGCTGTAAAGCATGTTGTATATCATACAATTTTGGATATATGGCTATTTTTTGCTATTTATTTAGCTCTTAGACATTTTAAAACAATGATCATACACACATATCAATATGATTGTTTTTGTGATACCATGTGACATTTGTCCTATTATGTCATTAATATGATACTAGAGCTTTTGTGTTAATACTCTCCGTCCTGCTTTTATATTATGGTAATGTGTAGTATGCAATATGAATTATATTAATATGTTGTAATTTGAATTTATAACAGAGCATGTTTACTGTATTGCATTAATAATTTCAGTGTAACCTTAGAATTTTATAGTTATTTTTTGAGGTGTTAAGTTCACCATGACGTGTCTAATTTCAGTTTTGATAATACAGGTATTGCGCGAAGTTGTATGTGCCATGAGGATGATAAAGGACTATAGTACCTACTTGAAAATTATATTGGATTTTACTCTTGGTAGTATTAGTACACTATATGGATGCACTTAATTATCTTTTGATGTACCAAAGTATACAGTGTTATATACGGATGTAGACTATTGGAATTAAAAATTAAAAGAAATATTAGAATGATACACTTATAAACAGTTATACAACTTGTGCACAGATTTTGTGTGTTTTAGTTCATACTCTCTGTTCACCAATTCATTGATTTATTTCAATTTCAAAATAATTGAAGTTCAATATTTTTATGAAATACCTAAAATTTAATTACTTATCCTGTAAATTTATAACAACTCTTTCGTTTTCATTTACATATTTATTAAAAATCTATATTTTACCTGTCAACTTAAATTTAAAATTAATTGAGGCATCTTACAGCTATACCAATATTACTATTAGATTCCTTGGAACTGAAAACATGGGTAGACACAAAAATTAACGGTCTAATTGCAATAGAAGCTGAGATTTTGCATACTTTAATGTGATGTCGTGGCCATTTTGAAAATAGCCATCATGGCTACCAGCAGGCAGATAAAGATTGCTTCCAATCTTTAAAATGACCCTCATGGGTCCTAATACCAGTGTACAGTTTATGATGCTTTAGTCAAAAAGTGTGGGATTTGGCTAAAAATTGTTCCTTGCCATCTGGGTGAAGACTTGTGCAAATCAGAGGTGTGTGGATGATAGGAATGTGATAAGGAATGGTAAGTCGCAGTTTATCTTAGTTAATTCGGGTGGTGTTATTTATACAATACTCTATGTGAATAGCCCACATTTATAAAATTACTACTGTTAATAAATTGATAGAGGGTATTACATTGCTCGACCACTTACCCACCGAGTCCTAAGAGGTGTAAACTAACCAAGTAGAAAATCTCTATTAGTTTTCCTAACCGTGTTATTATCGTATGTGCATAGCTAAACTGGGAATCTGCAACAGGCTGTTGATATCCGGCAAATCTACTCCTTCTAGGCATAGGAAAGCTTGTGTAAGGGCTGTAACGAGCAAGTGGGTTGTCCGCCGCTCGTTTGCTTGTTCGCGGCCCTACTAGGGGGGGGGGGGAGATAGAGGTGAGAAGGTTCTCTGCTGCCTCGTCTCACGGAAGACACGATCCAGCCTTCACCACAGCTGTTGCTTCACCCAGCTGTTCCATTCCAACTCTGGTTGTTTACTCATCTGAGATTCCTGGGGCTCGTGGGCTGTTTCCCCAGTCTTTCACTATTCAGCTCTCAACTCCGTGCCCTGGCGTCTCTCTTGTGTGGCAAGACATCGCCCACCAACGCCTGCGCCAAGTGAGGAAACTGCCCTGGACCTTCCCCCTGAGAGCGGTTCACGGCGTTACCAGAACATTCTACAGGGCTGGTTAGAAGGAAGATTCATCTGCAGCCGTAGGAAATACCTGTTCTGTGTATTATTGTTTATTTTGTTTTAAGTAAGTGTTTGACTCCAGTGCTGTTTATTTAATATTTGTGTGAGTAGTGTCAGAGTTAAATTTTTGTGATTATTTCTTAGTTAAGTGATGTCAATCTCTCACGGTTGTTTGTTACCCCTTAGAAACTCATGGTTCTTGACTTTCCTTTTTATAAAATCCTGATTAGGCTGGCAAGGGATCTATATCTTACAGGCCAGGCCCTTATATTTGGTGCATAAGAGTAATTTTTAAAGACTCGTATAATACAAATAAGAATGTTAACACAATCAAAACGGTAGGTACAACAAAAATCGGTATCACTAATCCTGATGATAAATAAAAAGGTATAATTTTTTTCATTGGCGTGAACTTAGTTTCATTGAGATAAGAAATAACTTCAGTTTGTCAGAATTATCTTTATCTCACTGTTATCGCCGCTGGCTTATTATGCTGGTGTCAGTTGCTGGCGTTTCGCTGACTTGCCCGAACAAACATTGTGTCTCTCAGCCTGCGACCAAGGCCCCCCTCTTCCACACGACCTGTTGCCTTGCCAGGTGTGGCGGCTGGTGGGGGGGGCGGTGTTTACGGACAAGAGGTCCTGAATCTGCTGTATGTATGGTTTAGAGGGTGGCGTGGCTCTCATAACGCAGATTGCCCTCACGAGTGATGCCCCACCCCCTCC